TTTGAAAGGTAGAGAATGAAAAGCAAAGTGAGAGACTGAGAAGGTACACAGAGCTAAAGCTGAACACTCAACGATTTCCTCCTTTCATTTGGAAGAAGGAAAGTGAGAAGGAGGTGGTTAGACAGGGGGAGGAAAGCGTTTATAAACATGCAGCACTTTAATCCTCAAAACCACTCCACGAAATAGGTGCTGCTATTACCCCATCTTACAAGCTTGTGGGAGGTTAGTGGCTCATCTGAGAGCACAGCTAGTCAAGGGACAGCCCTGAACTCTAAGCTCTATGGCTCTAAATACCATTCCTGTAAAACCGGCCTCCTGGAATACATTTTTCCACAGTTAGAGTCTCCCAGTTGGCGTCAATCAACTTGCTGGTTGATTACTAAATGCCTCTATGACCCTGGCAGGAACCCTAAGAAAGGAAGTCAGTTCATTTCCTGTGATTCTTTCACATTTTGCCTCTTCCATAACATCACACAAATCAATGGGCTAATCTCCTACCATACAGCTTTTTCTCTGTCTGACAATCCCAAATATGCTGAGGCTCCCTTCATTGACATTAATAAGTAGTTAGAAACCTAGTATGTATCAACCTACTAGATTAATTTGTTTTGTAAATTAAAGATCAGCCTACATACAGAGGGTGCCAAAAAAAGTATACACATTTTAAGAGGAAAAAAACTGTATTAAAAGCCGGGCTCGGTGGCTCAGCCTGTAATCCTGCGCTTTTGAGAGGCTGAGGTGACTGGATTGCCTGAGCCCGTGGGTTCGAGACCCGCCTGGGCTGGCGGGACTTCATCTCTACAATAAAATCAAAAAATTAGCCGGGCGTGGTAGTGCGCGCCTGTAATTCCGGCTGCTTGGAAGGCTGAGGCGGAAGGATCGCTGGAGCCCAGCCGGTCGAGGCTGCGGTGACCGAGAGCGGCCACTGCACTCCAGTCTGGGTGACAGAGTGAGACTCCAACTCAAAAAAAAAAAAAAAAACTGTATTAAATTTGTTATACTTAATATACACTGATAACAAAAGATGAATACGAGTTACATTTGACTTCTGCAAGTACAAGAGGTGCTCAGAGTGGTTCGCATCAGCATCCAGACACTTCTGATTATGGTTCTGCTGCAAGACTTGTTGCTGTGTGTGCGAGGCCTCTCAGATCTTCCCTTATGCACATCACACATGGTACCAGGTGCCTCAAACTTATCAGAGGGCAACCCCCTCGCGTCCCCTCCCACTGTGGGAGGTTTTCTGCCCTCTCAATAAATCCTGCTTTGAAAAAAAAAAAACTTACCATGAATGTGTAGTTGCTAGGCACATTGGAGGTTCTGTTGCACACTCACACCTCCACTGTTGTACTTCCACCACGTTCTCAGATTTCAAATACCACTTCAGAATGGTCTTGCGCTCCACTACAACCATGCTTCTGCCATTTTCTTTAACTGTCCTGCCTGTTGCATGGTGACGCTAGCATCATTTGATTAATGCCATCTTTTGAGTGAACGTCATACTATACATTGCTACCTTAATTTATAAATAGATAATAATACACAGATGACATCTCTTAAAATATGTATACATTTTTTGACACTCTCCATTTTCTCAGCTTAAGATTTTAGTCTACTGTCTTTTATGCCAATTGTTATACTACTACTATAGAAAGATAAGAATAGCCTCCAAATATTTTTCTTATGAATTAGAGTTAATTCAACTCCTAAAGGCTTCACAAATGTCTGCTTTAAGTTGCTATGGTAAATAAAAGAAACAACTAAAGTTTTGGTTTCCTTACCAGTGCTAATCAAATAAAATTTTAATGAAAATAAGTCTTTTATAAATACAGTGTGATTTTTAAAAAATGAATTGTCCATCTCTTTCTGACAAATATATATATTTTTAACATGATTATGTGACAATAGAAGTAAAACACATGAACTCTGGGACCACAATGTAAGGATGTGAAATCTGAGTCTGCCTATTTTTTAGCTCTATTACCATAGGAAAGTTACTTGACTTCTCTGAACGTCAGTTAAATAAGTTAATATTTAGAGCAGTGTTTGGTATGTGCCCAACTAGACTTTGCTGTTATTAACCTGGAGGGAGTAATTACTACAAGCAAGTCCTCTAATTTAATTGGGAATTCTTGCAGAGTGAGAATATCTAATAGACAAATTGCCTTCAAATCTAATGAAAATTTAATAATACTAAATTTAACAATTAATGAATATGAAAAAGTACATGTCAGAGATATTTAATTAAACATTTATTGTTTCAATCTTGCAGCTTTCTTTTAGTATTCTGAGTCAATTTTTTTTTCTTTCTGGTCTAAAATATTTTTACTGGACTTTGAAAATTTCATAGGCCCTAAGCACTGTGTCTTTAAAACTTGATGGATAAAATGGCCTTGGCCAAGGTAAATGGGATGGCTGTGACTTTAACCTTTCTGACTCCAAATACCATTCCTGTGCTAGCTGCTTCCTGGAGAACATTTTGCCCCAGTAAGGGTTTGAAAAGATTTCTAGACATTTTGGAAATGTTACTAAATAACAATTCAAAGATAGGAGAGTAAAGCAAAATCCCAGATATTGTTGATGAGCCAAAATTCTTAAATTACAGTTGTCTAAGTTCAGAGTTTGTATCAAATCCTGGGCCAACACTGATCCTGCACTTTTGTACAAATAAGAGAAAGTGATTTGGTAGAAGTTTGGAAATGGAACTGATCCAAGAAGGAATATCCTTTTGAGTAGAATGGGATTCTTCCTTGAGAAACATGCAAGTATCATGTCAATTTAAGTGCAAAATGTTTGGAATTAGTGTTTTGAGAATAAAATTAAATTTTTACCTTAATATATAAAAAGGACAAAATAGTATCTAATATTTCAAAGGGTTTTGATTTCAAGTACTGTTTAGAAAAATCTACAAGAAGAGACATGAGAAATGTATGATATTATTTTTAAGTTCTAAGGCAGAGGCATTCAGAGTCTGGCATACTTTGTGCCATGAGGTCACTTTGTATGTGTGACCATGAGGGCAAAAATATTTCAAAATAATACTAGGACACTGTCATTTTCACTGTGGCTATATTTGTATGTTGAAAATTGCATTGTAGGCCAGACACAGTGTCTCACACCTGTAATCCCAGCACTTAGGAAGCTGAGGCAGGTGGATTGCTTGAGCCCAGGAGTTTGAGACCAACCTAGGCAACACAGTGAGACCTCATCTCTACAAAAAAAAAGAAAGGAAAAAAAATAAAAATTATTTGGGTATGGTGGCACATGCCTGTGGTTCCATTTACTTGGGAGGCTAAAGTGGAAGGATTGCCTGAGCCCAAGATGTAAGGTTTTGCTGAGCCATGATCTTGCCACTGCATTCCAGCCTGAATGACAGTAAAACCCCAACTAAAAAAAAAGTTGCATTGCAAAAGTAGTGATGGGTAAAACTGTTGATACCTTAGCATAAACCAAGACACTGGCACCACACTAACCAACAGTGATTGAATTCTTCACTACGACTCAGAAAGGAAAAAGAAAATACAAGAAAAGTCTATTTTACTCACTGTCCTTGATGAAGCCATACAAATTCTTAGTTATATTGAAGCTCAACCCTTCATAAATTTTCTAAATATCATGTATGGTGGAAATTATACCTGAGCACTTCTGCAGCTTACCAAAGTATAATGCTTGTCTTGGGAAAAAGTACAAATCTTATTTGAGTTGCAAACTGAACTAGCTGCTTTTTTCATGATACACTATTTTTGTTGGAAAGAGCAACTGGCAACAAACTATGGTGTTCATATTTGGGTACTTAGCAAACATTTTTGCAAAAAACAAAAAAAGGATATAAGGAGACTGTCACTTCAAGGAAAACAAGCAACAAGCTTGATAAATTTCAAGCTTTTCAAGCTAAAATTGGAATTTTGGAAAACTTGTATTTGCCGCAATGAGCTTGACCCCTTATCAATACTCAAAGACTTTTCTGGTGAGTTTTGTAGAGATATTAATGAATATGATATTTTTATATTATATGGTAAAATGAGTCAACATTTGAAGATTTGCATAATTCAGCAAACTATTATTTTCCAAATAACCAATGAACAATATTATGCATCTATTCAAAATGAAAAATAGACAAGTAAATATTAATGTAACAATATGAAAGTTCATTGATTTGGTCTAAAATTATACATTGTAGCTAACTTCTAAAAAAATTATCATATGTCAAATTGTCATAAAGTAGCAAAGAATAATATTCTCAATTACCTGAAAAGGCAATTAAAATACTGTCCCCTTTTCATTTACTTATCTCCATGAAGCCATATTTTCTTTATTTACTTCAACCAAAACAACATATCACAACAGATATAATGCAGAAGCAGATATGAGAATATAGGCACCATCTATCACACCAAGTATTTAAAACATTTGCAAATATGTTAAAATAATGCTACTCTTCTCACTTGGTACTCTTTCCCCCTAGAAAATAGAATTATTTTTCATAAAAATATGTTATTTATGTTAACATGTAATGAGGTTTAAATAAAACAATAAGTAAACATCTAGGACTTTCTCCACCTTAATATCTACTATTGAATATAGATACAATCTACATACACAAAAGCTATGTGGTTCTTAATAATTTTCATTAATTTTAAAAATTATTTTATTCTATTTTATTTTACCAAAACCTTTGAGAACCGCTGCCTTATGGTTAAATGTGTTTGTCCTAAGCCAACAGTCATTGTGACATCAGCATCGGGTCAATAATTACCATGTGAAGAGTTCCGTGCAGTTGACCAGTATTTTACAGAGTTCTCCGGTTGGGCTACCCTATAAGAAGCTAATCACTTGAGAGCCTATTGCTGCCATTGATGTTCTCCATAGGGTGTTCTAAGATGTTATCAGGAAAGGTATCTTGCAAACAGTAAGAGAAAGATCATTTCATTCCGATGTGGCTTCTTGCTGTGAGTCTACTCACCTTTTCTTACACCTTTCTTCTTGTTTCACCATGAAAGATGCACAAACTGCACACCAAAAGGCTAAAAGCAGCTGCAGGGCAGATGTGGACTTTAAATCTTTCCAAGATCAGACAATCTCTTAAAGATGTTTACCACAAATGTAAGATTCAGCACCCAAATTCAACTAGATATCCAACTATGACATCCGATGATTGTGATCAAGATGGCATTAGTTCTGATAAAGAAATGAATCTTACAGTAATGCTCCAAGATATTAAAACTGCCCAAGTTGAACTTGTCAGCCAAATGACTGGCATTGTCAGTGCAATATCAAAAATCCAGGAAAAGATTGACCTTTATCAGAAGCAGATAGAGATCCTAGAAACCAGAATGAATGCTAATGAAAATAAACTATGCACAACAAGTAAAGATAACCTCTCTATGAAAGAATATATTGAGGTTTTAAAGAAGAAGGTGACAGAGCTGGAAAACCAGAATTCTTGCTCCAGTATACGTTGCTTAGAGGTTCTGGAGGGAGACAAATGTAAAGAAATCAAAGAACAGATTCATAAACTCATACAACAAGGAACTCCAAAGAATACATTGGCTTCTAGAGATTCTGAAATATCTTCAACAGAGCCAGAGAAAGTGCCCAGTTATCCAAAGTCCATTGATCATCTTGAGGGAAAAGCAATTTCTTCCAAAATTAAAACTTTGAAGAAAGGTAACCATCAAAATGCATCAAAAAGCTTTAAAAAAACTAAGTCAAATATTTACATTTATCCAGACTTCAGTACATGGATCAAGTTAACTTTTGTTCATGGAGGAAGATGGACATTTTTCCTTAGTGCTACCAAGTTAGAAGATTTCATGCAGTGGCTTCTTTCTAGGCCACCCATTCTTCCTGAGGAACCACCACTCAAAACCCAGAGATATTCTCCTTTCACTGGGCCTATTGTAAGTTTGACCACAATCTGTCTGTCTGTTTTCAACTATATTTACTGCCTTTTTGGTTCCTCAAAAGAAGAAGTAACTCGACTGTAGAGTTATTTTCTGATTTTCTTGGTACAAAATAAATGTCAACTGATTGCTCCAAGAATTCCCACATCTGTGTTGTAACTGTGAACACTTTGGTAGTTTGCTCACTATGGTTCACTATCGCAGTTTCTACACATCTACAGTAAGTTAAAGCCTATGGTCTCATTGGGCTATCGTGATCCATTTTTATGTCACTTCTCAAAGGCTTTGGCCACCCTTCCCTACCTTGGGGAAGTGAATATCCTCTTTCTCTCTCTCTCTTTTTTTTTTTGAGTTGGAGTCTCACTCCATCGCCCAGGCTAGAGAGCAGTGGCACACTCACGGCCACCCCAGTGTCGACTTGCTAGGCTCTGGCAATCCTTAAGCCTCAGCCTTCCAAGAAGCCAGAACTACAGGCGCATGCTAGCACGCCCGGCTAATTTTTGATTTATTGGAGAGACGAGATCTCACCAAGTTGCCCGGGCTGGTCTTGAACCTGCAGGCACAGGCAACCCACTTGCCTCGGCCTCCCAAAGTACTGCGATTACAGGCTGAGCCACCAAGTCCAACCTCTTTCTAATTTACTTTATAAATAAGCTGTATTTTCTAACCTAAAAAAAGAGAAAATTATATGAAGATAACACGGTTTTTTTTAGTGTTCACTAATAACAAGAACATGGAGGATGAAAGAAAATATAGAACTCCTCTTCTGTACTGTAGACACATACATTGAATGGGATAGATAAAATGTGTAGCCAAAGAATATGAATGCACAATAGATGGGGATGACCAGCAAAGAGAAATATTGAAAGTACTCCTGGTACTGGATAAGGAAGAGGGTTGGCGAGCCTCAGAGTAAGGAGGCAAGGCCAGGAGGAGGTGGTGAGGGCAATGGAGCAGGCAGAGGAAAAACAAGAAGGGATGGAGGCTTGTCGGAACATGGGACATAAAAGCTATCATGGATCTCATTTTTCTCTTCTGGGATTCCCACCATGTTCATTTTAACCAGATTTTGACCCACATAAGAATGTTAGAGGGAGAGAAAGCGACTCTACATGATTTTCTCAAGGCCTCACACTTTCCCTAGAGATGATTCTGTTTGTCCTGCTAATGAATTAAAATCCCTGTGAGGAAAGGGAGGATTTTGCTTCTGAGTCAATTATTTGTTATCATCACCTAGACAAGATTTTACATGACTTGTCAAAATTATAACGCAGTTTATAACTGCATGTGAGCAAATCACTTTTTCCCAATCCTGGCTTTCAAATTCACTGGCTTCTCATTAGCTCACCTCCACTCCTCCTGGCTCAGAGGAAGTGGTGGGTCTTTTATCTACATTCCTCCCCCAGTGGCTTGCAGGGTCTTGGTCAGTTAGTCCCTTTCTTTCCTCATCTTTGTTTTCTTTTATTTTGAGTCTAGGTCTCATGTCATGAGCCAGGCTGGAGTGCAGTGGCACAATCACTGCTCACCTCAGCTTTGACCACCTGGGCTCAGGCAATGCTTCCCCCTCAGCCTCTTTAGAAGCTAGAACTACAGGCGTGTACACCAACACACCCAGCTAATTTATTTTATTTTATTTTATTTTTTTGTGGAAATGAGGTCTTACTATGTTGGTCAGGCTGGTCTTAAACTCCTGGGCTCAAGCAATCCTTCTGCCTCAGCCTCCCAAAGTGCTGGGATTATAGGCATGAACCATTGTGCCCAGACTGTTTCCTCTATCTTAATCAGTACCTGTACTCAGCTTACAAAATACTTACTTGGTTGCCATGTCCCTGTGTCCTCCTGCCAATTTCTCACCACCTTTTTGAATGAGAGGCCCACACCCCTGTCCCCACCTCCCCTCTCCCAGTCTTTCCATGGCTCATAGGAGCATGTCTTCCATAACAGTGCTCTCTCTCCTAGTTCTCTTCCCATCACTCTAACAGATCCTTCTCAGTTTTCTTACATGATTCCTCTACCAGTAATCATTCCTGTAAGATACAGATGCTTCACTTTAATGACTCCCATCTCGAAGGATTCCTAATACAGCCTCTCCTGGGACATCCTGAGATTTTGTTCCAAGTTACTACTTACCTTCTTCACTTGCATGTCTACAAAAATACGTATAAATATAATGAGATGTGTGTCTATAATGCATATAAGCTAGACATGAAAGCCATTGTGCACTTATAAAAAAGTCTAAAACTATTGTTGTTGCTACTAAATTAGACACATTTATTTGGGAGGAAATTCTCAATAGTCAAAAGAACAAGGACATGCAAAGAACAGATTTTAGAACAGCTATTTACTAACATTTATTGTGTTATCAGGCACTATGTTGGTTGATCGTATAATGATGGCTCTCGTAACTATATGATTTTGGCAAATTTCTTAAGCTTTGCATTCACTTTTCTCAACCCTAAAATGAGAACAACTTAGGTCATGAGACTGTAGTGTTAATTAAATGAGATCACGTATATAATCTGCCAAGAACAGTACCTGAATTAGTAGGTACATAACATATGGTGGTCATTTCCTTCTCTCTTCAGGCTAACTATTAAAATGGGGCATCAAGATGAATGAGACATGGGTTCTGCCTCAAGTAGCTCACACTTAGGACTCTGTCTCTTTTTATCAGCCATAGAGGACTCCACAGATAATGAACAAAGTGACTACAAATGTTCCAAACCAAATCTTGACTCTTCCATCCAAAGATAGTGTGATAAGAACAAGACAGGGTGTGAAGCTCTCCTCCTGGTCTGGGCATTCAACCAATATTCCATCATCTGCAACAGTTGTGTGCCAACCTTTAACTGCACACTATATAAGTAAGCAACAAAGGAGAGGATTTGGAGGGAAGGAAAGCTGAGTTAAAATAAATAATTTATTTCAGGTTGGAATACTTGCTTGCACAGACACAGACACTAAGAACATTCTGCTCATTCAAGAACAATATTCACCAGCATTTTATTGAAATCTGACTATACCAGAGCTAGATGTGAACAAATAGAGATGAAACAACACCAGCGCCGTCCTGAAAGGACATATTTTCAAATGGTGTTCTTTCCAGTTGCCAATTATTTTGGTCTGTTGCATAGGTTTGGATTGGAAAACCACACATTACTTCATTTAAAACAACTGAGGTTTTTCCATAGGATACAACTCAAGTCCTATTTAGAAAAAATACATTGACATTCCTAAAAGCAATGTTTTAAGGTTAATTCCTCAAGACACAAAAATGTCATTTTTTTCTATATCATTCTATACTTCTTCAAAATGTAAACCGTCACCAACATATCAATGGATTGTACTCTCAAACTTCATTTGTTAATCCTTTGCATATAACTCAGCATGCACATATGAAGAAATAGTATTAGAGTTGGATTTGGTGGTCAACCCCTAAAAGCTAACGGAACTACAATGTACCTGAAATAATGATGTTAATGACACTATAAAGCGTTGTTGTTGCACATTCCCATGTCGAAGAGTATTTAGGAAAATAACTGTAAGAGTGGGAATCCAAACAGCTGGATCAGTGCCCCTACACTCCTTGCTCTCTCTTCTATCTAACAGTGGAGTGAAAATTCCCGATTGATGGCACTAGCAGAGAATGCCATAGAGAGCAGAAGAACAAAGCACAGGAACTAAGTGGGGCCAAAACAGGAACTCTAGGGATGAGAAGCCAAGATGGGGAATTCTTGGGTAAGAAAGGAGACAAGGGTTCCATGTGACTACTGAGAATCTAGTTCAGGGAAAAAGAGCTGAAATGGGCCAAGGTCATCTTTTACATAATGAGGGTCTGAAGGCTGAGTACAAGGAAGATAATTTATGTATGTAAAGCATATAGGGTAATTCCTGGCACATAGTTGTGCCTAATAAATGGAAATGGAGATACCAGAGATGGTCAGATAGAGAAAAAAATTGTAGGCTCTGCTCCCTCACTTGTCTTCTGGAATACAACCTGTTTGGAAGATAGCTGTATTTGTCAGTGCCAGATCGGCTAAAATACTGATGCAAGGTGTGACCCATCTTTCAGTGATCAGAAAACCAAAATGTGGATACCACTCTCTTATAGTGACACTCAGTCATTTACTTTATTTCTCTTAGTCCCCTTATCTTCATTAATTAAGTAGGGTTAACAATGTGCACCTCCAGGAGTTACTATAAGAATTAAATGTGACTCATGGTTATAAAATACCTAAATAAAATTTGGTACACAGTAAGTGCTCAATATGTAGGAGCTATCAACCAATAAAGGACAGCTAATGCAGGTTGCTGGAATGACTTCACCAGTTTCTCTAGATCTGAGAGGTTCCAACAGAGTGATATAACCAGAGACATGGTAGAGCATGGAATACTCTGGGAAGGGCTGCTGTTTCAGTGGGGTTCTTGTGACAAAAATAGGATCTGCTTGTTTAGTCTCTCATATTTCCTTTTCCCCATGCCATTTTTTTCTTAACCTAGAGCTTGAGAGGCAGGGATGTGGGTATGGGAAGATACCTCCCAACCAGAGACAGAGGTAGGGTTGGGGTAGGACAAGAAGAAAGGAAACCCTCAGTAGGAGTGAGAAACAGCTGTGGTTCTGGTGTACCCCTTCACACAGTAAGGAAATTTCATCCAGGCTGAGGTGAGGTACCGCACCATGCACGCTGAAAATACTATAAAAAAGGCAGTCCCTCCTTAGGCTGGTTAAAAAAACATGATGATTTTTTCTCTACCTTCAGTGACATTTTAGCTCTCAGGAATCTGCCCAAGCTTCCAGGAAGAGCTCTCCACAGGACTCTTCCGGTCTTTCCTTTCATCAAGGATTCCACCCATTTTTATTTGTTCGTTAGTTGGATTATTAGAGACAGGGTCTCACTCACTTACCCACGCTGGAGTGCAGTGGCATAGTCGCAACTCACTGTAACCTCAAACTCCTGGGCTCAAGCGACCTCTCACCTCAGACTCCCAAACAGCCGGTAATACAGGTGTGCAACACCATGCCCGGCTAATTTTTTTTAATGTATTTTTTTGTACAGTATCTTGCTATGTTTTCTTGGCCTCCCATGACAGGTGTGAGCCACCATGCCAAGCCTCCTCCTGCTTTAGATACTTCCTTTCTCTCCT